TTCCTGCTGCGACCCTTGATGAGCGTTGGAGCCGGTGGATCCTCCTGTTGAGCGGATGCTACGCGTCGAGCAGCGCGTTGGGCATGTGGCGATATGTCTTGGGTTGCTCGCCTCAGTTTTTTATCAGCTCCACTCTGCATTGGCCCGTCTGGAAATTCCTTCCCCCGAATCGCTGCAGGAGGAGCAGGCGGGTGCTGTGGCGACAGCAACTGGGATGTTGTGCACCCTTTGCTCGCACGGAAGGCGCCTTGAGGGGCTTCCGCTGGTTGGCCTTGCGCCTGGCTCGCCCGGTGCTGGCTCTGGACCCGGGCCTTCGGCGGTCCGCCGATTGATTGCTTCCGCACGGCAGTCGTCACTCGACCTTGTACCAGCAGCCACATCCGTCCTGCGCTGGATGGACGGGAGAAGGGCCCAAAATTGGTTTTAGGCCACCCTGGCTAATAGCGGCTTTAGCTTATCCCACCCTGATGGCTTAGGGTAAAAATTCCAATACATACACAAATACAGATTTGAAGAAAGGATGACTGTACGGTTAGCCTGCCTTGATCAGGGTAACTGAAAAAAAGTGGCCTACAGAAAGGAAAAAAAAAGGTCTTTTACCCTGATATTTTGGGCCCTGGACGGAGGCTGGTCCCGATCTTGGCAGAGTAGCTGCCATTCCTCCCTTGCCGGCCTCCTTGGTGCTGACCTTGGCTTTGGGCTTCCCCATGGCGGTTACTCCTCGCCTGGGGGTGTTGCTGTTGCAGTAGGGTGTTACTGAAGCATGTTGTACCACTTGTTATATCGAGTGCCTTCCCTCTCTCGTTGCCACCCCTCACGCGCGGCCGAAGGCCACGCTGGCGAGCGACGGCCTCCGAAGGTCCGTGCACGAGCATCCGTAGGTCTCCATGGCCAGAGGGAAGAAGCCGATTGTGTCTCGCCGGTTTGCACAATGTTGGATCTTTTTATCCGCTTGCTCTCGAGTATCGATCCAATGTTTGCCCATGCCGCAGCGAAATAGGTGATACGGCAGTCAGGGATTCGTGATCACGGTGTGGTGCGAGCAGTCGCAGTTCTTAGGCGTTGAGAAGGGAAGTCCTAAGCGGAAACAGACAGCGTTAGCAAAATTCTCGGCCCCTATGCGGCGGGTTGGTTCAACTAGGAGTGTAGTAAGCCAGCCCCCAGTGCCGTACCCTGTGAGAGAGAAGAAACGCTGCGTATGTCCTGAGAGACGATTAGGGCTCATGCGCCTGGTCGCCTGCACCTGCACGGCATATCTACTCCCCTGCACCTTCACTGCAAGCGCATGCTGCAGCTTCAGTCCCCTCGGTTCCAGACGCTCCCTCTCCAGCACATCTAACGCGTCCTGTGGCAGTGCTGTCTCACACTCAGTCAGCCATGTATGGAGAGTTGTTGTAGTGTCCCGGGGTAGTAGCATAAGGTTTTTTACGGTACTTTCCAAAAACATTTGCGGTACTTCTAGGAGGGGGAGGTTGAGTCACTATTTTCCCTACCAGCTTTAAGCCAGCAGCATTGTAGGAGCTACCATCAATGCCGACATCGATCAAAGCCAGAATCTTGTCAAGTCGAAAGGGCCAATGCTGAAATGGTGCCATTTGACAATCCACTACACATCCTGATGATTTGTCCTCACAATCCACTTAAAGTTGATATTGGCACGGTATCCCTCTCAAGCCGTCTGTTGCTTGGATAAGCACACTACCCAGCCTCCCTCTCCCCCTATGCATCACTCATACGGCATGCAAAAAATATTTACACTTATAAGGAGTACAATGGGACACAAGTTTGCACTTCTATGGCAGCTAGAAGAGAAGCCAGTCCACACCCGTCACTGCAGGTGCTTTTTGGGAATTCTCAAAAGCCACTCTAAAAAGATTTTTGCTCCCCATGGGGCATTTCTGCTGTGAGGCCAGCAACAGGCTTTAGAGGTGCATCAAACGGGGAGCCATTGTAAGTACCCACTTGCTTCACACAGGCCCTGTCAGCAGCGAGGCCAGTGGAGCCAACACACTTGGGCACCTCAAACGAGGAGCAGCTGTACACACTCGCTTCCTTCACACTGCCAGCCCCGAAGCCAGAGGGGCCAACAAGCTTTCGAGGCGCCTCAAAAGAGAACGAGCCACTCTACATCCCCCAGTGCTCCCCTCAGCGCCCAGTCTCAACAATGAGGCTCGAGAAGGTACCAGACTTTTGCTGCGGATCAGAAGCTAAGGAACCACTCGACGTAACCCCTTGCTCCTCAGAGCTCATTTCAGCAGTGGGGCTAGAGAAGCGAACAGATGTTTGAGAGAAATCAAAAGAGAAGGAGCCACTTGACATACCCCCTCGCTCCACAGAACCCATTTCGACATTGGAACCAGAGGTGCCACTCGAACTTCCAGTTTCCTTGTCCGTGGAAGAAAATGGCGTGCTCATCTGCAACTCAAGCATCTCCTGCTGCATGTTCACCAGCTCGCCCAGCACGTGGAGCATAGAGGGGCGAGAGGACGCAGGCATGGCAGTGCAGGAAAGGGCAAGGCGAACTAACTGCAGCACTAAAGCATCCGGTGCTTCCAAACGAGAGTCCTTGAATTCTCCCACCGCACCCAAGTCCACCAGTGGGGCCACCTGCCGGGTTGAAAGGATATGCCACACAAAAGAGTTGGGAGTCGACTTGTAAAAAGTGCAGCAGCAGACCATATGGTGCTTTCAAGTGGGGGTCCTCGAATTCTGCTACTACTCTTTAGCCCACCAGTGGAACCACCTGCTTGGTTGAAACGATATGCCCTTCAAAAGATGCGCTTTGAAAGAGTTCAGGAGTATCGACATACCAGCATTAGATTATAGGTGCTTGGAAAATGGAAAATAACAACATATAGAAGCATAGGATGGCTTAATGGTGTAATATTAAATTATGCAGTACAGAGAAGAGCAAAAAGGTAGACGGCAGTAGGAAAGGAAAGGTCAACGTGTGACAGGTACAGGGTGAGGGGTGCATTCCTGGCTCGTGTCAGACACGAAGTGGGAGGTTCGGAAGACACACCGTGAGTCACTTCAGGTCGTCCGAGCTTCCACTTTGTGTCTGACCTTATGTCTGACACGAGCCAAGAATGTACCCTTAGGGCGTGTAAAATCGGCAGACACAAATATTCGGCCACAAAGCCGACTGGCCGAATTGGCGAAAGTAACACATTCACGAAATTAACGAGCTCCGTTGCGAAAGTCGCAAATTTCGCGAATGTCATGCGAATTTGATGGCCGTAAAAGTGGTCGACTCGGCTTTCAACATCGAGTCGACTCGAAATCAGCCACGTTCCCGCCCCGTCGTTGCGACGTTGACAGCAGGTGTCGCAAGACTCCGCATGCGACGCCAAACAGAAACCACGTTCACGTCACCACCGCACGTACACAACGTCTGGACAGGCTCAAATGCACAGCGCACCAATTTCAGGTGCGCTGCGTCTTTGCCCATGCGCTCCGTCAATCCCATGCAACAGGCGCAACCCCCCCCCCCCCCAACAAGCACGCAAGTCTACCCTCGTGGAACAGAAATAAAAATAGAACGAACATCACAGCCAGATCACTCACTCCACTGATTGAAGCGCCGACTAGCTATGGCATCACCTAGTGGTAACGACCAACCCGGGGACTCCACTAGAGGCAGCAACCCACCAAATCTCCCTGACACTCAAGCCTCTCACAATGACCCGATGCCGCCACCAATTCGTACACGTGGCGAATCATCCTCTCGCCACATTAACCCATGGGAACGGCCCGCTAGTTGGTGGGTTAATAATCTGCCCCGTCCCGACTCACCATACGGGATTTACGACGATTACGGTGTTGGCGAAGAAGCCCCAGAGGTCTGCTCTGCCAACGAAGATGAGGAGCTTGACCCGAACATCGCGCGGACGAACGTGGAGTCTGGAGGCACTTCCGCACCGTCGACTTCGCGTACAACTTCTTCGCAGCCGCGCTGGAGTAAGGAGGACGAGATGCTGCTGATGCAGGAGCGATACGAACTGCACGTTAAAGGAGAATGGAGCTCCATGCGAGGAATGCAGGGACAGAACCAGTTCGCCAAGCTCCATCGCAACTTGCTCGCCCGCAATCCACGGTGGCGCCATCCTGTATCCCACCTGCGCCCGAAGCTGCGTCGCATGGAGGCGTGCTGGAACCGATGGCGTGGTGTGTGGACGAAATCTGGTGAGGGTCTGCCAGAAGGGTGCCCCTTATGGTACGAGATGGCGGACGAAATGTGGCGGGACCGCGAAACCGTCCGCCCAACAACCACTGTGGAGAGTGGTCCCGACGAACCCACTGTGAACGGTCCGAACTTACCCGCCGACACACCCATGACTGAGACCGAAGAAGCGGCACCGGTGACCCCGCTCGTTGGTAGCGACAGCGGTCCAACAACACCGCGCACCGTATCCGCGCGCGTGCTGCCAGCGGCACCAGTGAGTGCCACGGGGAACGACTCAACTGCCGACGCTGGTAAGAATGGTTTTCTCATAGGCAAGTGCTTGTAATATTAATCCGCAAATGAGTGATACATTGAGACGTACATTGCTCAACGTACAAAACCCGCACGTTCCAACCCACCAACCCTACAACCTCATGTGCGCAGGTCCTATCCTGCCTCATTCGGCACCACCTGCAATGCAGTCCACGCCCACTGCCGCGAAGAGCGCTCCTGCCGGTGGCGCTTCACCGTCGCCGTCGAAGCCTTCAAGCTCCACACCGCAGACGAAGCGTCCCCGTGGGTCGCCTCATCCCCGCAGGGCAGCCACTTCACTGAATATTGGCCCAGGCGGTTCGCTCCGCAGTGGCCGCACGACGGCGAGGGCGAGAGCGGCGGCTGCGATGGAGGACGATCAGGACGATGACGAGGAGTGGGGTGCAATGAGTAAGAGCGGCCGTAAAGGAAAGCGCGCGTGGGTGGAGGACGTGTGTCGGAGTATGACACGTGAGTTGACAGCATGCGTTGAAACGACAATGACACGTATTTTCGAACGTACCCGAGAAGAGGACGGGATAGGTCCGGATGACCAAGACGCCATGAGGCGTAAAGGAAAGCGCAAAAGCGATTCCGACGCTGAACAGGCGTGAAACCGGGCACCTCCCCCCCCGAGTGCACGAGGTCGGCTGCCGGCCCACGAAGCCACCACCGATTCCGCGGGTATTGAGCCTCCATGCGGTAACGCGTCCCGAGCACCATCTCGATGTTGTGCAGAGTCACAACCGCGGCGATGGTGGCAGGGACATGGCGGCGGTGGCATTCCATGCGCCCGTCGAGGATTCGCCATTTCGTCTTGAGCCGACCGTTGACTTGCTCAACGATCATGCGTGCTCGCGACTGTTGCTTGTTCCACACCGCTTGTGCATCTGGTAGGAGTTGTCCCGGGGTAGCGCGATAGGGAACGTAGGTGTATTCTTTTAAACCGTAGGCTGCGTCGCTCACTATGACATAGTTTACAATGTCGCCTCGCTCAATCCTTTGTTTGGCCTTTGAATTATTAAATACCTTTGAGTCGTTGCATGAACCGGGCCAGCCCGCAAGGAAGCTCCAAATCAGCCCGTTCGCATCCACGATTAGTTGCAAAATGACGCTGAAAAAGCCTTTACGATTCTTGAACTCCTCAGAGTGTGGTCCCCACCCGCGCGTATGGATATATGTAGGTATGATCAAATGACCCGACCCGACCCGACCCGACCCGACCCGACCCGACTTTGGCGGGCCAGCCGGGTTCCGGGTCGGGTCGGGTCGGGTCGGAACTTTTGAGATCTCTGGCCCGACCCGGGTATCGGGTGCCGGGTCAGGCTTGACCCGCCCCCGGGTCGGGTCGGGTCGGGGCCGAGTCGGGTCGGGTCGGGCCGACTCCCATAGGCAGGGTTAGAGGTTCTCCTTAATAATGTGTAGGGGCGCGGGTCTAGCGACCTGCGCCTGCACGGCGCGCCGAGATGCCCTAAAACGCGGGCCTGCAATGCGCGCGCCTAGGGTGGGAGCGCGACCTGTAAATTTCGGATTTAAAAGAAACCCTAGGATGGATGGCGCGAAGTGCGAAGTGCGATTGGCTGAGTACTAACTAAACATTATCGTGGGTTCTAGGGTAGATTAGTACGCCAATGTTGCTTGGTGGGTGGCTGCTGGCGTCATTAGCTAGTTAACCTAACTTAATCCAGATCGAAATGCTAGTTGCTGGGAAAACAAGCAAGCGCGATTGCGATCTGGATAACATTGTCGAGAGGAAACCCTCGGGTCGGGCCAGATACCCAACCCGAGATAGGGCGCGGTACCCGAAACCGGGTCGAGTCCATAATCGGGTCAAAACCCGACCCGACCCGACCCGACCCGGAATCGGGTCACGGGTCGACCCGACCCGGCCGGGTATACCCGACCCGACCCGGCCGGGTCAGTGGTTCAGAACTCCTGACCCGACCCGGGTCAAAACCCGGGTCGGGTCGGGTCGACCCGACCCGCCGGGTCCCTATGCTCATCCCTAGATATATGTGCCGTCCATGGCACCAACTATGCCGGGAATTCCGCTATCCCAGCGAAATTCTTCCTCCCACAGCGCCAGGTCTTCCTCATCGGGCCAGTTGATCCACTCTTCCTGCAAGTAGTCGCGGTTGAATTCAATCCACGCCTGGCATATTTGGTGAACACGTGTGTGGCTGACCCCGAACATCAGTCCCAACTCCCTGTACGTCATCCCACTGCCGAACCGCACAAGGACCATGGCAACTTGGAGCGTGACATTACACGCTCTTTTGCCCGAGGAGATCAGATGTGTTGCCCAAGCTTTGCACAGGTATCCAAATACACTTCGTTCAACGCGCAGCGCCTCGTACATATGTTCCGGCGCTAGGTGTAGGAACCGATCCATCCAGCGTGCGCGCTGGATTTGACGGTCACGACGCCAGAACATTTGGTACTCCGAGTCGTCAGCGATGTCCAGCAGCAGGGGGACGAGTAACGTCAAGGTGGTGATCCATGGCACAAGGGCTGCCTGTAACAGCCCCGTAGCTAACAGACGGGTTGCACGCGGAGTGAAAGTGGTGGCCATTGAGGGGCTGAATGAAGTGCCAGGGAGTGGTTACTTTTAATAGTGGAGTCAGTGCTGTGGCTCTTGGCTAAATGTGCGTTGCCGACCCGTGTGTGAACGGAGCCGCGGTAGCAATGTTCAGGCCGTGGTCGAGCTTGGAGTGGCGTTCCAATATCGGGTGCACATGTGCAACTCCGTCGCACAATTCGGCCATTTGAAAGTTTACAACTTCCTGGAGTCGGCCAGCAATTCGCTCTGGAAAGTTGTAAAATTTGCAGACTTGCAAATACTGGCCGGTTATTGGCCGACTCTGATTCGGCCATCTGGTCGACATGTGCGAAAGAAGTGTCGACCATTTGGACGACAAAATCCCGGCCAAACCCAAATTTTCAAAATGCTCGCCGATTTTACACGCCCTTATACATGTGTCCTGTGGATTTAGGAAGAGAGGTCACAGATCTTGCCTACACTATGTTTACAAAAGAGAAAGCAAATTGATTCAGTGTGAACCGCACTTGGGCTTATGAAAATGGTGTTAGCACCCTTTTTCCAGGCATCGTATACCGTTGTGACCTTTGCCTCACCCATCGCTTGATATTGATGTAGGTGTCCCTTTGCACCAACACAGCCTCGCGCCCCGTGAGCACCACCAGCATCACCAAGCCAAAACTGCAAGTCAAGCAAACAGAAAGGACATCATTTCTGAAGCAGTGTTTACGTGTGACACCTCTAGCAGTAACATTGGACATCAATACAGTCATCCTCACTATTATAGGCCTGTTCACAAGCACTCGTCTACCAAGCCCTCATCTTTGAGAGTCCGAGCATCTGAAAGTCTTTGATTGATCAGAAATGGCAAGGCATGTGTTAATGCCATCCATGGACTGCTAGTATGAATGAGGCAAGAGAAAGGCAAAAAACATAGTGAAGTATAAAAAATACCCCAGAGCGTTCTCACAAACATCCCATGCTTGTCGGATGGTTGTTTCGTCCAAATTTGCTCAAAGCCTGCACCAATCTGCTCACCTGCACCAATGTTCTGACCTGTGTCATGCCAATGTACTCGCCTGTACACATCTGCGGCTGGAGAGGCCTTCTGAGAATCGTAGTATTCAGGGTCCACATAGCCCAGCGTTCCCACCACTCGAGTGGAAGGCAAGGATGAGCACATGGATGTGCTTCCACACAGCTTCACGAGCCCAAAGTCTGCAACCTTTGCCTGCCCACCATCACCCACCACAGCATGATCATGCAACATGAGATTAGGTTAGGGATGAGCAAGGTGGCGAACACCTGTTCGGTTCGCCTCGAACGTGTTCGAGGCGAACCGAACAGGTTTTGTTTTTCAGCTTAAATTGTTCGCCCGAACGTGTTCGAGGTTCGCAAGAACACGTTCGTGTTCGTGGCGCTACTGCAGAACGCCCCGTGGCGAACACGAACGTGTTCGAGGTTCGCCCGAACACGCCTCCACAGGCGAACAGCGAACACCTGTTTTTGCCTAAACTGTTCGCCGAACCAAACACTGTTCGGTTCGGCAAAAGAGGGTGTTCGAGATGGGGCGAACACGAACATGTTCGTGTTCGCCCTTTGCTCATCCCTAGATTAGGTGACTCTATGCTCGGGTGTTCAAAACCCATGATAATTGAAACGGATGGACAAGGGTAGAAAAGAAATCCACTTCCACATGCAAGGTTGCTTTAGAATCTTGCCTGCATTTTTCCATCAAGGAGAATGTTGGCCGGCTTGATGTCGCGATGCACAATGTTGAAGTCATGAAGGTACTGCAACCCCTTGGCCACTCCAATCAGAATGTCCAGCCTTTGGCGCAGCGAAAGAGGATTGGAGATGCCGGGACCGATCCAGCTGGCAAGGTCGCCGTTGGGCATGAGCTCATAGACAAGAATCTGCTCCATGGTTCGTGTGGACGGGTCAAAGTCGATGCAGTAGCCCAACAGACGCACGAGATGCGGATGATGCTTGCTTGCCATTCCTTTCATCTGAGGGGGAGAATGGTGAACAAATGAAAGGAGAATGAATCATCCTTCCAACCAGCAGCCAATGTTGGAGAGGGCAAAGGAAACCATAGTTGCGGAAGACGCGTCTAGCGTCTTAGACGCTGGCGCCTAGACGCTGCGTCTAAGACGCTAGACGCAAGTATAGGCCAGATTAGACGCAGGATTAGACGTAAGCCCGGCAGGCAAAAAAAGTACGGGCAGCCATAAAACCTATTATGGGGCATGGGGAGGGGGGGGACATGGACGTATATAACATTTTTAGGCTGTTTTTCAAGGTCGAAATGGGTGGGAGGGGGTCTGTTTTTTTTTTGGGCTGCCCAAAAAAATTTACCCCATGCGTCTAGCGTCTAAGGGTGCGTCTAGCGTCTAGTGTCTAGACGCAGGACGGTCCCTGTGTCTTCCGCAACTAGCAAGAAACGTGGTACCAGCAAAGCAAGAGGCAAGAAACGTGGTACCAGCAAGAAACGTGGTACCAGCAAAGCAAGAGGCAAGAAACGTGGTACCAGCAAGAAACGTGGTACCAGCAAGACACGTGGTACCAGCAAGAAACGTGGTACCAGCAAGACATGTGGTACCAGCAAGACACGTGGTACCAACAATGAAGTGCCACCAACAATAACGTGCCACCAACAATAACGTGCCACCAACAATAACGTGCCACCAACAATAATGTGCCACCAACAATAACGTGCCACCAACAATAACGTGCCACCAACCATAACGTAGTACCAACCAACAAGAACTCACAAAATGGCACCAGATACCTCTCTCTGGAAGTCATTTGTGAGAACTCGAGCTCGTTTGACAGCCCAAGCTTGATTGCAATCGTGAGGAGAAACTCCCTTGTAGACATCCCCGAAGCCGCCACTTCCTATCCTGTTCTCCTCTGCCCACTCTCCTGTGGCCTTGGCCAGCTCTGCCAGGGAGTACTCTCGACACACATATGGCTGTGCTACTTCCGTCTCCACCACAACACCACAACGTTGCCCTCTTCGTGCTGCTACTGCAGCGCCTTCTCCCGCCCCTTCTGCTGCTGCTGATGGTGGTGTTGCTGCTGCTGATGGCGATGCTACTGCAGCCGCTGCAGCAGCTGCTGACGCACCTTCTGCTGCTGCTGATGGTGGTGTTGCTGCTGCTGATGGTGGCGCTGCTGCAGAAGCTGCTGCCAGTCCTTCTGCTGCTGCTGATGGTGGTGCCAATGCAACAGCTGCTGCTGGCCCTTCTGCTGCTGCTGACGGTGGAGTTGCTGCTGCTGCTGCTGCTGCTGCTGCTGGAACCTCTGAAGCAGCTGCTGCCACACCTTCTGCTGTTGCTGAATCTTCCTCCTTGCAGAGAGCTTCTGTAAAGGAACATAAGAGAGGGGAAGAGAGAGAAAAAAGACATACAGCGGGTAAGGGGACTGGAATACCCACAGCACCTTTTTCTATACGTTAAGGGGCCAGGAAGGACCACCACCCACCACTCTTCAGGGAATAAATTTTGCCACATTAGGATCACGTTGCCACAATGGAATCATGTTATCACATTGCGATTATGTTGCCACATTGGGATCATGTTGCCACATTGGGATCGTGTTGCCACATTGGGATCATGTTGCCACATTGGGATCGTGTTGCCACATTGGGATCGTGTTGCCACATTGGGATCGTGTTGCCACATTGGGATTGTGTTGCCACATTGGGATCGTGTTGCCACATTGGAATCGTGTTGCCACATTGGGATCATCTTGCCACATTGGGATCATCTTGCCACATTGGGATCATCTTGCCACATTGGGATTAGGGCCGCATTGTGATTATGTTGCTGAAGTGCGATCATGTTGCCACATTGGGATTATGTTGCCACATGTTAGACAACTGAGGCTAACACCACAGTTATATGACAGAGGTTGAGAATGAGTGTTGATACATTTGTATATAAGCGAGAATAACCTTTGGGAAGGGTCGAGGTATGCCTGTGCAAAGGGGCGAGCCGAGTAATGCTCGACTCGTCCCTAGCCTTGCTCGGCCGAGTACGAGCCCGAGTCGAGTAATACTCGACCGAGCATTTTTACACCAAACAGAAACTCGTTACTCGCCTTATAAAAGGGAACTCGGGCGAGCATTTAGAAAAGCTTGTCCGAGTACGAGTAAATACTCGGCCCTGTGCCCTACTCCTGCATAGAACGACTCTGTACATAACAAGGAAGGCCATTGGTACCACGGAAGTATTGGGGTTTCCAAGGTGGTCCCAGGAAGCCTAGAGAAGCTCAGGAAAGCCCTGGGTTGCCTTGGGTAGTCCAGGGTAGCCTTGGGTTGCCGCGGTAAGCCCATGGAAGCCTGCTTAGACCTGGATAGGCAAGTACTCGTCGAGCAAACAAAAACTCGGCGAGTAAAACTCGGCTCGACTCGCCCGAGTAAAATTTACAAAAACCGAAACTCGTTACTCGCACCCAAACGAGTAACTCGGGCGATACCGAGCGAGTAACTCGTCTCGTTGCACAGGTATAGGTCGAGGGACGCTCGGGGCTGAGAAAGGAAGAGCCTGTGGGAAGGGAGGTGTGCTAACTCGGTGTGGTGAGAGGAGAGGCGAAGAAGCTGAGCGGTAACAAGGCAGTGTGGTTCGACTGCAAAAGGGGGTGGCGAATGGAATGCGAATGTTGCGTGCATGCTTGCAGGCACCAAGTCCAAGGCCAGCTGGAAGCAGCGAGGAGGCAGATCTGGGCGGCCTAGCGTTAGGATCTAGTTCATCCCTGTGAAAGCTAGCAACTAACCTAGGATAGAAGGAGGTAGAATAGGGGGAACGGGCCATGGGACTTTTACTGTTTGTATGTTCTTGTTTCTTACTGTAATTTCTTCCCTGAAGATAAGCAGTGCTAGACAAGGCCACTACAAGCAGCCAGATGGGGTAGGAAGGAGCTGAGCTTAGGAAAGAGCTGCAGATTAACTGAACAAGGGAAAGGGCAAGGAGAAAGTGGGGTAAAGAAGGATAAGAAGAGGGAAGGATGAGGCACACTGGAGGAGGATAAGTAGAAGACTCAAGGCAGAATGAGGAAGCTGGATAGGGAGGATGGGGTCAGACGGTTTGGACAGTAGGATGGGGAGGCAAGGCAATGAGTCGACCAACCCTATAGACTCATTGCCTTGCCTCCCCATCCGGTCACAGCTCACCGACCCTATAGTCCGGGTCGGGTCAGCTTTTTCTGGGGTCCTTACCCGAGATCGGGTCGGTCCGACCTTACCAGTACCCGTCTCAGGTCAAGCACCGGGTTGGATCGGGACAGGTCGATCCTTGCTCATTGTCTATTTTCACATGAGCCCCCCCCCCCTTCCCCGCCCTCCTGGTAGCTGTGCAGTAAGTTTACTCGCAAGACGCTTCTTCCAGCCGCTGCCACGTGGCGGCACGTAGCCCCTCCTTGTCAGCAGTCCACCCCTTTGTTGTAACTTTTTTATACAACATACATGGGCTAAATTGTGAGGTATGGTTGCTAAGGGGCTGTTGGGTGTACCTTCCAACCACAATCTGTGGTTCATTTTTGGTTGGGTTCCCAACACTTAATGGACTCCAATAATGTTGATCAACACCAACCAACAACCACAATAATGTTGATCAACACCAACCAACAACCACAATAATGTTGATCAACACCAACCAACAACCACAATAATGTTGATCAACACCAACCAACAACCACAATAATGTTGATCAACACCAACCAACAACCACAATAATGTTGATCAACACCAACCAACAACCAAAATAATGTTGGCCAAACCAGCCAACCATCATCAGGGCCTCTCACAACTGTAAGCCAAGCCACCTCAACTCATTCGAGATTAATCAGCACAGTTTTTTGTTTTCGCACCTTTTTCCTTTGGGAACTGGCAATGATACTCGTAGTAGAGCCCCTCCTCCATCTCAAGAAACATCATGCGAACGTTGATGGCCAGCTCTTTCACTGCCTGGGCAGGAAGGAGGGGGACGGGTGGAACGGGGAGAGTGAGGGGGGAAGGTAGTTCGGAAGAGGAGGGAGAGAAGTGGAGGAGTGGAGGAGAGGGGAGGGAAGAGAAAAGGAATGGAGGGAGAGGTGTGGGGGAGAGCAGGGAGAGGAGGGGGAGAGAGGAGGAAGAGGAGTGGGTGAGGGGAGAGAAGTGAGAGCTGTATGCATGCATCGATTTTTAGGCGCCTCGAAAGCAGCACAGCATGCATGCACGTAATATGTAGACACCTCTTAGGCAGCACAGCACTCATGCATTGGGCAGGAGAGGATTTTCTTCGGGCTTTCATTGTAAGCATCTCCAGCCACTTGTCCATGTCCAGAAACATCTCTCTCTGTTCATAGTATGTGCATTGTGGGGAGACGAGGCGAGGGAGGGGAAGATGAAGGAGAGTGGAGGGGGAGAGGAGGGGGAGAGGAGGGGGAGAGGAGAGAGAGGTGGGGTGGGGGAGAGGAGAGAAGGGAGAAATAGAGGAGAGAAGTGAGAGGGAGATGGGGTTCAGCAGAGCAGGAGGACAGAGAAGAGGTGGGGATTTGAGGGTGAGAAATGCGAGGGAGGAGGAAAAAGAGGTGCGGATATGTAAGAGATGAGCGTAAAAGTGCACAAGGAGGATGAAGAAATACAAGTAACCTTAATTGGATAATGACATTTTTCAGGTCACGTAAAGTTGGCCGACCGACCAGGTGAGTAGTTTCTTAACTTGCTGTGATTCACTTGCCTACTGCTCGCTTCACAGCCAAGCTGGTCACTAGGACGGGATCATTGGTTACAGCGTGTGCCACAGCCTGTGCAAACAGCCAAGGCCTACACACACTGCACCTGCAGTCGCCCTCGAACCACCTCTTGTTTCAGTTCAGAAGCAATCAGCACTACAACCACTGGTCACACTCTACCTGGTTCCAGTGGCTTCAGCCCCTGCCACAGCCATAGGCAGTCCGTGCTACAGCCATAGGCAATCAGTGCTACAGCCACAGACACAGCTCAGAAGCAATCCAAGCACTACACAGGGCCCAATGCACACACTATACCTGATTCTGGTGGCTTTCAGCGCTGCGCTCCAGAGCAGCAACGATGAGCGGCAAGATGGTGTCGTGGTTCTGAGCCACGAGCGCCACGATGTAGTCGTTGCCCCACAGGCGCAGCGTGCGCTCCGCCACCTGAAGGAAGGAGGGGAATGGAGTTGGGGTGGGGAAGGGTGGAGGAAGAGACATGTTCGTTCAGCGCCACGAGCGTGACGATGCAGCATGCGCTTCGCCACCTGCATGGGGGGAAGGAAAATGGGGTTTGCGGGGGGAGGAAGGTGGAAAGAGACATAATAGTTCCGCGCCAGAGCGTCACGAGGCAGTCGTTGTTCCGTCAAAGCAGTGTGTGCTTCGCCACCTGCATGGGGGGAAAGGGAAATGGGGCGGAGGAGGGGGAGGCTGAAGGGGGGGGTGTATATATGGGGCATGGAATGTGAAATGTGACATAAGGACGCGGCACCTGTTTTCATATTGCCAGGATCGATCGTGGGAGGGGATCGATGTGCCGCTTGTACAGTGTATTGGCGACATCGCCAATGCCTGGTATCCGTTTTTCGCTGAACGTCGAGAATGTACAGCAAACGGGTACCCAAATTGGTGGCACCTGCAGCTCGCACGATCGATGTGCCGTGGTGCATGCGTTAGGGTTGGCGGGAGAGCATATCGCGCCACAGGTGACAGCCTCGATCGATCGGCGTCGCCCACGGTCGTAGGTCAAAAAATCTAGAGTCGCTGCGAATGGAATTGCTGGACGACCATCCACGCTCTGCCCTGATTGGCTGCGCGTTTAAGTGTAATGGCAGCTCCAACCTGCCCGAGCCTGCAATTTCGATCCTGGCACCTATAGCTCGATGTGTCTACCCCACTGCAAATTTGCAGTGTGGGCACATCGGTGTGCCGATCGATATGCCAGGATCGATGTGAGGCCACGATCCTTGTAAAATGAAAACAGGTGCCGCGTCCTAAGTGGGGCCTAAGGTAGGGTGTCACATGACACGTCAGGCAGGCAACGACAATCACATTAGCCAGAACCTAATGTCGCATCCATAAAAGAGAGTAAAAATTGCGAGCCTCACTCACTATATCCCAACTCTGGTCGCTGTCGGTTAGTTTCTGAGAATGCTTAAAGCCTCTCCAACTTGGAATGCCATACGATACTAGCGCATTCAAGAATCGAAGCTGAATTATGAAATTTTGTAAGTTTGAGGGACACGATGGCGAGAGCGTTGTGGGCATTGCACGCCGGAAGTGCGGCATCATGCTCCCCTGGAGCTCGGAAGCCTTCATGATGTGCCCCACTCCATCACACCCCGTCACACCTCTTTCACCCCATCACCGTGCCATGCCCCTTTGGTCCCTGTCACAACCCGTATACTCTGCCGGAACAGCCGTGTCACGACCATTTGACAGCTCGTGTTCTTGTGCGAGAACGCATCGCACCCAGTCACACCATATTACACAGCATCACACCGTACCTGTAATTGGGTGGGAGCCACACCTAGCCACACCCTCTCGAACCCGACCACCGTATCACATCCACACGAACAGCATCACACCCGGACACCCCCCCATACCACCGTACCTGGAAGTGGGAGGAGCTGAGGCAGAGCGCGATCTGCTGGAACAGCGGCGTCATCACCAAGTGGAACTCGAGCTCCTGCGTGAGCTCCAAAATCTTCTCCAACTCTTCCAGGAAAAGCAGCTCATTCTGGTTGTTACTTAAGGGCCAGAACTCAAGCAACCCGAGCAGCACCGAATCCGCAAGATTCGGGTCTTTTTCCACAAACAGAGTGATGCAGTACGACAGCTGCTGGTGGTACATCGACACGCACTTAGGCTTGTGCAGCGGAACCAGCGCTCGCTCCAGGATCTGCTTTCGCTCCTCCTTACTAACCGGCATCACAAATCCTTTAAGAATATCCTCTAGAAACTCTAACAGCTCCGCGATGCCGTTATGCCGCTCCGACTTTATAAACTGGTAAAAGATCTTGTTTACCGCTTCGCGGATGAACAGCCGATGAACCATGAATTTCAAGTAAATCTGGTGCATGATAGTCTTCAAGTAGCCCCGCTCGCGAGGGTCCTCCGAGTCGAACAGGTTCAGCAGCTTTAAGACGAACTCCTGGTCTATGTAACGCTTCGCCACGTCGTCCGCGTCGGTCTCGCTACTAGAGACAACATACCAAAGCAGGAACTCGTATACTATTTGCAGATGCGGCCACGCGGCTTCCATAGTCGGCTTCTTTAGCTCCGGATCGATTGATTCCGACTCGGACATCTCGTGCGCGGACGATGGTAACGGCCGGAAGAGATTAACCTCCAACATCCGCGTGATGCCTTTGAATACCGCCTCGTTGTATTTCCCCGTTCCGGATTTGACGTAGTCGACTAGCTCAAGGAGAGTTTGCCGCTTAATCTCCTTCCCCTCCATGTTTTTCATGGGGTCGTTAAAATCAAAGAGGTAACTGCAGAGGTGCAGCTTTTGGATGAATGCCTCCTCCGCGAAATGCGACAAATCTGCCTGCGCAATCTCGTTCGGGACGCGGCAAACGAGAGCCGTTGGATTCGCGGCGCCTGCAGGCGGATGCGGGCTTCCCACAGCGTCCGCTCCCCCCGAAGCGGCACTTGCTGCAGCTGCTCCTGCATTGCCTGCATTGTGCGACGCTGCGTGTGTGTGATTTTTCCGACCCCCTACAAACGTCTTCTTAAATGACTGAAGCATGCTAAGCCGCTTCCTGCGCGTGGAACCCTAGTACTAACCGTTACTAATATTGACACGAAATCTTGAATGCCAGGGTTTGTTGAAGTATGTTCGACGTTAGAAGGTGAACTGAGTGGAAGAAGATGCTTTCGACGCGTCGCGTCGAAACGAAATCAGGCTGAACAGCTTCGGAACTCCCTCCCGTAGGGGCTGGACATCTCACGTTTGGCAGCCTTGGAAAACGACTGATTGGTTGGAAAGCTTGCTGGCTGCTTGGGCAGGACATTTTGCACTACCGAAATCGGGTCCTGCGATAAGTAGAGATTCCAAGCTTTTGAACTGTATACATTTGCAAAGGTTATTTTAAATTTGGTAATCCCAAACCCTGGAGTCCCTCGTCCCAGAACGGAGGTGATCCCGCCAACACCCCAGAGCAGTGGCTTTTGCTGGTCGTTCATGACTTCAGGAAAACCGGAAATGTAAGGAAAAAAAACCCTAACAGGGTTTACGAGTACAACCCCCATGTTATAATTAGGAGCTTGGATAGGATAAGCCTGCCTTAAAGCTCGCGTCTCATATTTCTGCCATCCAACCAAGTGTTAAACGGTTGGAATCCGGTAACAGCAGAGTTTGTCGCAAAGCACACCAAAGCAAGGGGTGGATTGGGAAAGTTGGCTGTCGCACACTTCCCCGTGCACACCAAGTGTTAACAACTCTCGAAAATATGAGACTCTGAACTCAACGTTGACAGAACCCGGGACCAAACCTGTCCCCCTTGGCTCGTTTTCCACCCAAACCAACCCACCCTGGTTTGTTTTGGCCTCGACTGTTTGGGAGTTCGCTGTGTTTTTTTCACCCACTCGTCAAATAATTCGTCATTCGTTACCCAATCACAGACGGGAAAACCCAACCAAGTGTTAAAAGGTTGGAAATCTGAGACGCGAGCTTTAAGATATTTGGTTGCGGAAGTCTTTGTGGAAGCAAACTTGTGCATAGTGGATGTAGGTTGTTACAAATAGTGAAATGCGAAGAACAAAGAACACAAGGAGTACGAAGGCGAAAGGTCGAAGCGACGCGACATTTATATCCCTCTATACTCTAATTTATATGACGTTTTTGTGCGACGTTTGGTATCCATCTATACTCTTATTTATATGCATGTATTTGCATGTGTTGATCATCTCAATCATTTTACATTCACTCAGATTTGAGGTCAAGGGCCCACCACTACCATATATTCTGTGCGAACCTTTCCGAGGTGATCCTGGTTACGATCAACTTCTAATCGCAGCATGGTACCGTATGGCCCCGGATATAGGCGCCATCCGATTAAAGGCGCCGGCGTCTCTATCTAGAGCATGGCGCTTATGGCCGTTCCTCGATTATAAGCGCCCCCCCCCCCCCCCCCCCCCCCCCTGGTCAGAACTATACTCTAGGCTGTAGTGGGGCACTCCTTATGAGGTACAGCCCTGATAGGGGCTGGAGCTGGGGGCCCTGCTGCGGGAGGCGCTGGGGTTGGAGGCATTGGAGCTGACGCTGTCCCTCTCTCCCCACAGCAGCTGCGTGAGTGGTACGTTAGCCGTCAGGGTCGCGCTGCTGGAGCTGGAGGCCCTGCTGCGGGAGGCGCTGGAGCTGGTGACTCTGCTCCTGGAGGCGCTTCTGCTGGAGTTACTGGAGCCACTGGCCCCGGAGGTGCTCGTACTGGAGGTACTGGAGCTGCTGAGGCTGGAGGTACTCCTGGTTCTGGGGGTGCTGCTGCTGGAGACACTGAGGCTGGAGACTCTGGGGCTGGAGGTGCCGGTTCTGGGGGTGCTGCTACTGGTGGCGCTGGTCCTGGAGGTGCTGGCGCTGGAGGTTCTGGAGCTGCTGGAGGTGCTCGTATTGGAGGTGCTGGCGCTGGAGGTTCTGGAGCTGCTGGCGGTGCTCGTGCTGGAGGCGCTGGAGCTACTGGTGCTGCTGGCACTGGAGGTTCTGGAGCTGCTGACAGTGCTGGTGCTGAAGGTGCTGGCGCTGGAAGTGCTGGCGCTGGAGGTTCTGGAGCTGCTGGAGGTGCTGGCGCTGGAGGTTCTGGAGCTGCTGGAGGTTCTGGAGGTGCTGGAGGTGCTGGCGCTGGCGGTGCTGGTGCTGGAGGTGCTGGCGCTGGAGGTTCTGGAGCTGCTGGAGGTGCTCACACTGGAGGCGCTGGAGCTACCGGTGCTGGTGGCACTGCACAGCCGCGACTGTTCTTCGCTCCGCCGTCACCTTCGTCTCTACCACCGCTTGACTCCGTGCTTCGCCACATTCTTAGCCTCCCGTCTTCTACTGGTCTTCCGTTACAGACTGGCTCCCCTCTCCCTGCTCCTTCTCCTTACACTTAGCAGACAGGAGGTCTTGCTGAGCGTCGTGAGCCTGCGTCTCGTCGTGTCTCGCCTGCTCGCACTGTCCGCACTGCTCATACTGGTCGTCGTGTTCCTCGTGAGCGTCCGCCGACTGTCCCCGGCACACACCTCATGGCCCTGCGTCCTTCCTTTGCTCCGCAGCGTGTTCCCCTGCCGTCCCCTCCTGCGTCTTCTCTGCCTGACGTTCCAGACCCTGAGTCTGATAGCGCTCGTGCTGCTCACCCTACTGTCACGCGTCTGCTAGCCACTGTTGTCACTGACCCGTCGTTTGAGTCTACTGCTGCGTCTGCCTTAGTCGCTAAGCTTGTTGACTTTGCTGCTCCCTGTCGTCTAGACTACTTCGCTTATCTTGTTGCTGAGTCTGAGTCTGTCTGTCCTCCGTCCGTCGGGGGTGAGTGTGCTCTTGGCACGGACGTCCTTGAGGACAGGCAGGAGGAATTCCAGTCTTTTGCTGCTGCTTTACCTCATCTCGTGTCCATGCTGCTTGCCCTTGAGGGAGACCCGGATGCACCAGACATCCCTACCCCGCGCTCTTACGCAGAGGCGATTGTCAAACTTATATGCTATAGTCTGTGTAGGCTGTAGTGGGGTAGACTATATGGGGTACAACATTTCTAGGTTTTCCTACTTGTACCCACCTGCTTGCTAGTTCATTCATTCCTCATTTCTTCACATGGTATAGAGCAGGTTCCCTAGTGGGAACGCTTCCTAGGGCCCACCACGATTTTTTTTTTTTCCTGCCCGGAGCGCGCTTTGCTCCTGCCCGAGTCGCGCCCCGTGTGCCCTCCCTACCGTCGCGCCCTCTCACGGCCCCTCACGGCCCCTTCGCGTCGCCCTTAGCGGCCCCTCTCACGGCCCCTCGCGCCGCCCTTACGGCCCCTCGCGCCGCCCTTACGGCCCCTTACGGCCCCTCGCGCCGCCCGTCGGCCCCTCGCGCCGCCCTTGCGGCTCCTTACGGCCCCTCGCGCCGCCCTTACGGCCCCTCGCGCGGCCCCTTCCGGCCCCTCGCGGCGCCCTTACGGCCCCTTACGGCCCCTTACGCCGCCCTTCGAGGCCCCTCTCGCGGCCCCTTTACGGCCCGTCGCCACCCTCCGCGGCACCTCGCGCCGCCCTTCACGGCCCCTTCGCCGCCCTTCGCGGCCTCTCGCGGCCCTGTCGCCGCCCTTCGCAGCCACCTCGCCGCCCTTAGCGGCCCTCGCTGCCGCCCCTAGCGGCCCCATCGCCGCCTCTACCGGCCCCCCCTCCTTCGTCGCTGAACCGCCCAGCAGCTGAGCCGCCGAGCCGCCCAGTGACCCAGCCGCCTAGCCGTCGAGCCGCCCAGCAACCGAGCTGCCGAGCCGCCCAGCAGCCGAGCCGCCCAGCAGTCGAACCACCGAGCCACCCTGCCGCCGAGCCGCCCAACAGCCGAGCCGCCGAGCCGCCCAGCAGCCGAGCCGCCGAGCCGCCCAGCAGCCGAGCCGCCGAGCCGCCCAGCAGCCGAGCCGCCCAACAGCCGAGCCGCCGAGCCGCCCAGCAGCCGAGCCGCCGAGCTGCCGAGCCGCCCAGCAGCTGAGCCGCCCAGCAGCCCTGCCGTTGAGCCGCTACTGTTCCTACCGGCGCGCCCCGGCCCTACTTACTCGGACTGGTGAGATCCCTCCCTGCTAGGCCACTGCAGTCATGGCTACCCCCAGTGTCCTTACCTTTGATGCTGAGGGTCGTGCTGTTAACTTTGAGGTCTGGGTCGATGACCTCCAGCTGTTCCTACAGTGCGATAGGGTTGACGGACTCTCGCTGTTCGATCTCACCTCTGGTGCCTCTCCTGCCCCGCCTGCTACTGCTGACAGCACTGTTCGCTCACAGTGGGCCACACGCGATGCTGCTGCCCGTCTTGCTGTGCGTCGCCACTTACCGACCACTGAGCGTGCGCACTTTAGCCAGTACAAGACTGCTCAGACCTTGTACGACGCTGTAGTTGCACGCTACTCCTCCCCTGCCACTGCTGCGCTTAGGCGCCTCATGCTGCCGTACCTGTTCCCTGACCTTGCTTCCTTTCCCACAGTCGCCGACCTCATTACGCACCTTCGCACTAGTGACACTCGCTACCGCGCTGCGCTTCCTGCTCAGTTCTGTGCCAAGAACCCCCCCCCCATGTACATCACCCTCTACTACATAGTCACCCGGCTCCCTGAATCCCTTCGCTTAGTCAGGGACCACTTCCTCTCAGTTTGCCCCACCACACTCACCGTTGACCTCCTCGAGGAGCGCCTCCTAGCAGCAGAGAAGAGCATAGTCGCTGTAGGAGCCTCTCGTGGTGACCCTCGCACCCCCGTCTTTGAGGGGTGTTCCCCTTCCCCCCTCTTGCCCTCTGTTGCTTCTGCTGCTGCGGCCGACCTCGTTGGTTTCGAGTCGGTCGGCGCGGCGTCTGCCCCTAGCGGGAGACGCCGCACCGGCAAGGGCAAGGGGGGCAAGGGCGCTGGAGGGGCTGGCGGGGGCGGTGGAGGTGGTGGTGGAGGCAGTGGAGGGGGTGGGGGTGGTGGTGGGAGTGGTGGCGGGGGTGGAGGTGTCGGTGGCAGCAGTGGAGGCGGAGGAGGCGGCGGCGGTGGCGGAGGGAGCGGAGGCGGCGGAGGTGGCGGAGGCGGCGGAGGTGGCGGAGGCGGCGGAGGC